TATGTAAACAAAAATGTCAAAGAAATCATTGGTAAGTCTGGGCGTCTCTGCTTTGACGACCAGGCAACAGATAAAGCGGAAGAAAATGTATGGATTGCTGAAAATCAAGCAAAATAGGATCTGATTTGTTCTCAAACTATACCTTTACAAGACATTTCTGAGGAAAAAAAAATAAAACGTATTATTTATGAAAAAAGTTTAGCAAAGTCAAGGACTGTTTTGAATCTGGGCATGTGCCAAAAAATACATCCATATTTATATTTTTATTAGATGCTTTATTTGCTGTATATGTAAAATGCTACATTAATTATTATTTATTTTTGATATTGTTCATTTATTCTTACCATTGATACATATTTTAGATATATTTACAGTTGGAATGAGGAGCACACAACACAAGATAAATGAACTAAACTAAACTAAACTAAAAAAAATATATAGTTTTGTATTCAGAAACAGTTTAGGTATATATGTTAGCAAATCGTATCAAACTGACAGTCAAAATGAGCTGCTTTGTTTAGTTTCTGTTTCTAATGATAATTTTAAAAATGAGGTTTTTTGTTCTTTCTTTCTGAGCAGGAAGGTCTCAAGACATCCATTTCCTTGTTACCTGGTAATATAATTTGTTCTGCTTGTCTTTGGTCAATGGCTGTTTTTCTAAATAACTCCCGATTGGCAAACGCAACAATATTGTGAAGCTTGGTGTTGCTTTTTGTGAGTTGTTGGGCTGTGCAAAAAAAAAAAAAACACAGAAATTGGATTGCTCTGGTCGTGTCGGTTGGTCAAGTAGCAGTTCTGGTGTGACAGACAGTCTGCAACACAAGCCCAAAACACGCCCTCACAAAATATGTCCTCTCTCGACCCACACACACTTTATGTTATTGGATAAACACAAATACAGTTGATTCATTCATACACAATGATTAACCGTGAGTCATTCAAGTCTAGTGCTGTAGTTCTGTAACTTATTATGACTTCTTTATTATGCTAAAGTTAGAGATTGTAAACTTAAGTCTTGCTTCTTTATTATGCTAAAGTTAGATATTTTTCTTATTGTTTATTTTTCTTTCCTACTGTTCTGTAACTGGTGATGCAACACTGAAATTTCCCCACTGTGGGACAAATTAAAGGATCACAAATACATAACAGTAGAACTCAGTTACTGTTAAATGCCAAGGCACAAATTAGATTTAAAAGTCTTCAATGGAGGTTTTTTACAGATGTACAGAGTTTATGAAATATTCCGCAGTTTGGGAGCAGCGACAGCAAAGGCCCCGTCTCCTCATGTTTTCAGACGAGAGCTGGGGACATTCAACAAAAGGGGATACAGGGGATAGACCATTTAAAACTTTATAAACAAGCAAATGAATCACCCTGGAAAGTAACATGGAGGCAGTGAAGTGATGGTGGAGTGATGCCAGTACAGGGGTAATGTGCTTTCTCTAATGTGTGAGCAGAAGAGCAGCATTCTGGACCGGCTGAAGGTGCTAATGTGAGCTTAGGTCCAGTTTAAGGCAGCTGGTGTTATTGTAAATGTAATTGTGCTATACAAAAAAAAAAAAAAACATTTACATAGAACAATGAAAAGGCTACTCTGTACACACCTAAGTATATGTATCACAAGTCTGCACCAGCCTGACCAAGACCACACAATTGAACTAGCATGACAAAGTAACTCCAGTCACAAGGGGCAAATAGAAGCACGAATTCATGTCAATAACGTATTATTAAATTATAACGCACTTTGAAGATACGGTAGCTGCTGCACAGCCTCAGTACTCGTTCTACAGTCTGAGTCCTGGATCTGGGCTACCTTGATTTTTCCCACTGGGTTTTTGATTCCTTGCCAATGCCGGTGGGTCTAAGGACAGTGGTGATGATCCAGGACATTTATCCACATTTATGGACATTGGTCACCCCACTCCTATATGTTTGCTATCATCGAAATTTTGTGTTTGCTTGATTCTTCGATCTGTTGTTGGCGAATCCACAGCTTTGTAACGTCCTCCGAAACGACTGCTGTTGCGATTCAGGGCTTTGCAAAGTGATTGTAACTGGCTAAATGCTTCTAAAACATAAAACCGATTGCATAATAAAACATACCCTGAAGCCATGTTGCTGAATAAGTGCAAACTAAACATTAAAGTTGTTCGTTAAAAGCACACACTTTGCAGGCTCACACAGCAGCAGTCCTGCACATGAATAATTCCGCCGCTTGTATCCACATTCTTCTATATTTTCGCATACAGTAAAGTGTGCCCTTCAATCAATACACGCGCTGGCCGAGTCAATAAGCAGACATAATCGCTTCGTATAGAGTGTCTCGTTGTGTGTGTCATCGATTGTGATGTTCTGCTGTATGGCCGTGTCCCAGCTCCTTCTCCCCCCACTACGGCTTCCTGTGAGGAGTTCAATACAGAGGGCCCGGGCTAAATATGGATCAAAGCTATGGGAGAGGTTTCTGTCAAGATATGCAACGCTTTAAACATGTCAAGTGTGGAGCAAAGGGCCTCGCCGGGTTCCATTAGCCAGAAAATGGGATTGTTTTAGAGCCAAGTTGGTGAGTAAATGTCGTTTTCCACTGAGCATTAGGAGTGTGCTGCTGTGGCTGGGTGACTTCTCTTGTTTTGGAATCTGTCATACTGCAGTCGGCGTCGGTGGTTTCACTTCAGTCGCCTGGTTATTGATTCATAGATTTGTTTATCTTTGAAGTCTGAAAAGTGCTCTGGTTCTACAGTGTCTTATGGCCGTCAAAGCCAAGCGTCAAGGCCACACCGGGCCACACTCTTTGGGAGCGGCTGATCCCAAAGAGATAAATCTGTATTTTCATGTTTGTTCTTGTTTTGATTTGAAAAGTTTTGAACCAGAAGCAATGGGGAATGTAAAAAAACTATATCTTTCACGTAACAGTTTTGTTCTATTACTAGTTTTCACATGTATTTGTGGCCTCTGTCACATCTTTAGAACTGGTTACTCTAGCACATTTCTTTTGATTAATCATTCAATTGTTTTGTTCACAGATGTGACGTTCTTTGAGTTAATGTCTATTGTATGTATTTTTTCACAGAACACTGCTTCACAAAACCAACATTTCTGTCTTTTTTTGACGGTACTGCTCCGTAAAATCACATTTCACAACACAAACAGGTGTTGTTTACTCACTCTCTATGAGAGAAATTAACTATTCATTGGTTACTGAAATGGTTGAAAAAGGAAAAACTCTATTATTGGGGTCAAACATTACAGCCTGTTGTTTTGTGATGTTTTAGTTTAAAGGATAGAATTATTAAGCAACATTTTGTTGTTGTTGAGATTTTAATAATGTCACCACATATTGTTTCCTATAATCCTAAGAAATACCAGAACATTAAGGAAGGTATTTCTTCAAAAGTTGTTGAGTTCCTTTTCTCTAAAAAAATTCAATTCAGTTCATTTTTGTACAGTCATCACGTTGTCAATTCACCAACAACAGATCAGAGAATCAAACGCAGGTAATGCAATAAAAGCAAACACACGGGAGCATTGGTTCATGAGACTGCAGCACTTTAGATTTAGTAGAATGTCATTTTTACACTTCTACCACTAGCTGGGAGTGTTGCACATTTCACTCATCACTCACCTAATTTTTAACATGTCTCCAAAAAGCCTCAAGATCACATGTAAGGGCTACAACAAAGACAGACTTGTGTGATATTTGTTTTTGGGGTTAACCTGGATCAGCACTCTGGTATTTTGACTGTTGAGTTTCACTGGGGAGGGCATAAGCGCTGACTGATGAGTGAACCAACAGGTTTTCAGTGGATAACCATAGTAAAAACACTTCCAGACACATTGATAACTTCCAAGTCACACAGCAGTGAATTCTTGAACTGTTGACACTTTTTTTATATAGCATTTGAGTTGATGACAGAACAATGTCAGAATGTGCTAAGTAGAACCACAAGTGTCCACTGTCACTTTACTACATACAGATATTTCTTGCACTAGAATATACACCATTTTATTCCAGCTTCTTCATTATGCTAAAACTATAGATTTTATGCTTGCTTCTATGTTTTGCTGAAGTGAGAGATTTCATTTGATTTTAGTGTAGAGTTATTGTTCATTTATATTGTGGCTGTGAAATTTAAAAAAACGTTTACATTTATTATTGCGATGGAATATGGAAGATAAATGGATAACTATTGCTGTTTTTTGTTAGCCTCAACATGATGACGATGATGATGATCAGGAATGTCATGTGAAAATGTAAATGTTTTTGCAGTCGCTAAAATGACGTATTGATGATGGGGAAGGCACCTATTAGCTTTTTGCTTCTGCCTTCTCCTTTTGATCTTTTTCTTTGCGCTATATGTGCCTGTAAAAAAAAAAAATACTTTGCTCCTCTACTGTTCTGTAACCGGTGATGCAACACTGAACTTTCCCCACTGTGGGACACATAGAGAGTCTCTAAATCTCAATCTTAATCTTAGAATGAATCAGCAACGAAGAACACAGTATGAAAAACCATTGTATTTTACAGTGTTTTAAACTGATGAACTGAACAGATATATAAAAAAAACTAAAATAAAATCTGTCATATTTTGATAAAGGAAATGTACAGTGGTGAATATTGTCATTGAGATTTCAGAAATATGAACAAAACAGAGTTTATATACAGGCATCAAAACAAGCATGTGCCAAGGCCAGGTCTGTGATAACAAAGATAGAGACAAACTAGAGGAATGCAGAATCCTCCTAAAACATGGATTTCTTTGTATTTCCAGAGTTCATTCTCCTTTGCCAATATCCACCACTACATAACATTTACATTAAAATACAGCGCACTTATGTATTTTATAGTGTTTTTGAGGAAAACATTTGGTTTCACTTCCTGCCAGGTAGCCCTATCAAAAATCATATCAAGGACATTATGAATGGCACTTTGGTAACTGCATCAGTGCATTTGTTTGTTGTTCTATTGCACTGTTTTTCTCTCCCCATAGAGTATTATTTGGCCCTCATCTATCCTTTACAAAAACAAACATTGTGAGAAGGCTTATTCCCAACAGCGTGACCTCTGCTCTTGTCGCTGCTTGCCCATTTCCAACCGATTTGGGTGGGGCCAGTCTAATCATGGGTGGCGTGGATAGCTTTGGATTCACACTCACATATGTGTCTTGTTTGAAAAGGCACTTCTCGTTGCCCCAATCAAAGCCCATTTCGCTTTCCTCATCCTCCCCTCCCACCTCATCCTCCCCTCCCTCCTCACCCTCCCCTCCCTCCTCTCCCTCGTTGGTGTCATAATCATAATCCTCATCATCCCTAAAAACAGTACCTTTAAGCACAACGCACCAGTAAGTCCCTTCGTCCGCCCTCTTCACACGGGAAATTATTAGAGTTGCGCCATTGTCCATTAGACTTAATCTCCCTCTCAGATCCTCGGGGATGGGAACGCTTTCGTCTCCTGAGTCGCAGATTAGCTCGTGCTGATGCGTCTTCTGTCTGCGATACCAGTGCACAATGTACAAATCTGCTTCTGGATCTGCTGTATTGCAATGCAACGTCACGTTATGGTTTTCATATGTAAATGTTTCTGAACTTTGCTTTTTAGGACACAAAAGCAAGGTGTACTGCGTCTCGGATGTAGCAGAGATGCAGGCATAATCGCCAAAGTGTTCGTCAGTTGCAGAATGGATTTGTAAAGAGAAATGCTGTGATTTTTCCCCGGTAGAAATGCGCATGTGGTGGTTACGTTCGTCAATGCTGTCCACTGTTCCGACCGGAGTCTCCCAGCGTTGCTTATCTCCATCTGCTTGACAATACAACAACACTTCTTCGCCATGTGAGGCAAAAACATTCTTGCTCTCATGGCTTTCCGACACGTACAGGTTTTGAAAGGTCAGGCAATGCGTGTCTTTGTAGACTTCGCAAAAAAAATGCTGATTGTTGTTCAACATGCTCTTATTTAGCACAAGTGTAGCTCCATGATTCTTGACTTCCAACACGCCGCTGACGAGGTCCAGCGAAACCAGGCTGTCCAACAACAGTTCGATGGTGTACGTTGGGTAGACGTCGTGGTACCACCGCACGCTGACTCCGTCGTGTCCAATAGAAGTGCTGTTACACAAGATTTCCGTCCCGTCAGCTTCTGAATTAACAATGATTTCCTCTGATTTGATTTCAGAATCGCACACAATGAGCAGCTGTGTGTGCTGGCTGATCTGTGTGCCATTCTTCCAGCAATCCCTTCGGTAAAGCCCTGAATCTCCTCTGATAAGTTTCTTGATCTGCAAGCCCATGAGCTGATGGAGGTGGCTGTTCTCGATGCGGCCCTGAAGGTCTGCAGGAAGAGTAACAGGTGGACTTACATCTGAGGAGTTGCTGATTAGCTGGTCCCTTTCTCCGAGAATGCGGTAAACCAGCATGTAATCCGTGCCAAAGCAGTAACCCAGCTCCACAGCTTTGCCTACAGGTCTGAAAACAGGTTCTGGCTTCTGTCCGCAAGTCTGGGTGAGAAGCAGGACAAACATTGTGAGCTGAAGGGTGGTCATGTTGCCTCTGCCGCGTGTGACTGTCTCTGTATGTGCGTTTGTGTGTGTGTGTGTGTGTGTGTGTGTGTGTCGAGCTCGGGGCCAGAGCTGTTGAAGTTTACTGTGTCATGATCCGCCTCCAGCCAAACTCTCAGCTTCCTACATTCTTTCTCACAGGCACCTTGCGCATAGATTGTCATATGTTGAAATATAAGATGTATCACATGTGTTAGCAATGTTTCATTTGATTGTATTCATCCCAAAGTGGAATATTATCCTAGTGTAAAATATGAACAGCATTTGCGCAAGCGTGTACTGCAAGGTGTGGCAATGGGTTTTTTTTCTTTCTGTGGTCGTATTTCATTGTTTTGTGTGCGTGAGGTAAGTTATAGACTCTAAGCATGCCAGCTCTTTGAGAAATGTTCCGATGCAGGTTTGACCATCATCACAACTTACTCATAAATAAACATATCTCTGTGATTTAGTGTGAGTTCTTTGGTGCATACACAAAAAACGTCTCATTAAACTGTGATCTAGATTTGTCAGAATTTATCAACAAACATTTTTTAATACAGATGTGTTGTTCTGTTTCCCAAAATAATGTGATGCGTAACGGTGACCATGAGCGCTGGTTAGGGAAACCCCATGTGTTTTCAAATTTTCGCAGAGTGACTCGAACTCTGGCTGTGTGCTTTCATTATGTGGGCAAGAACGGTACTTTTCACAGAGCAACAATAGCTCATTGTGCTGGTTAAGGAAAACCGTTTGGCAATATCATGGGAATTTGATATTTTGGACAAGACTGGATTAGACTTTTCTGTAACAACTGATTTGAACAAACAATGTTGTTGCGTCAAGTCTGAGCTGGTGAGACATGCTAAACCAGTCATGTAAAAGCTGGGGTTTTTTTTGTTTTTTTTTAGACAAAGTCATTTATCATTTCAGTCCAAATTCTCTATTTTAGTTTTGCTCTAGTTCCATTCGACTTTCTGTTGCAATTCCAATGCTGGTATTGAATTTCCGAAACTAACCCTAAACGCAAAAAACTGTTTGTAGACAATACAGCTCATTGGTGGAGAGAAATGCTTACACTGGCGACCCACATGTTGTTTCAGAAGAATTATTCAGAGATGCTAAAGCTAACAGTTAAAGCTAGGGGTAAATCACTTTTTTTGTTTATAAAATAATACATTATGTTTGTAGAAGTCAAGTGCTGTGAACGAATCAGACCTTAGATTATTCATCTGAAGATAAAGATAAAACTAGTCAACACAAGGATTCAACAACTAAAAATCCTAGTGCCGTCATTTTGACTGCTCCCTTTCCAATCAATGGAAGTCTAAAAGGTTAATGAGTGTACCATCAGTTTTACTCAAATGTATCTTTACTCACTTTTAAAGTGAGCTCAAACTGGTGAATATAACTTGAAATACAGAAATAAAAAACAGTTTGTCGAAAGGCTAATGCTAGTTATGCTAGTAAGTTGACTGTGTTGATTTCTCTTCCCTACTTCTCTTCATTTCTAAATTAAAATATAAAATAAACTACATAAAGAAACAGAAAAAGTCACAAAGTTATAGGAAGATCAAAAGATAAAAAATAAAAATCTAAAGTAAAAGTTGTCAAATTGACTGCTCAATACTTGTAAGAAGAAACTCTGAGAGTTGGTGTGAGCTTTGTCCTCTCATTTTCACTTTTCTGTCTGAAAAAGCTGGTCTAAAGTTGTGACAGAGGCCAAACCAAGCATACATGTGAAAACTAGTGATAGAACCAAACTGTTTTGAGAGTGAGGAACATATTATATAGTTATACAATATGTGGTTTGAGAATTAGGTACCCCAGCTTTAAATAGAAATTGAATACATCTTGAACAATCAGCCCCAGTGTGATAAATATACCAATTTAATCTTGGCGGCGTGTTGTCCTCGTCTGATCTATCCTTTTATGGGGGTAAAGACGGCGACAACATATTTTTGCAGGATCATTATAAGTGTGACTGTGAATTATGTAATGAGTTCCAGTAACTGATGGCCCGGTCTTCCATTCTGTCACATTGTAAAAAGAAAAACAAAGAAAAACAGAGACTCTCCATGTGTTTTGTGTAGAGACTAGTCCATCAAATGAATACATGCATATGTTTTTGAATTAATAAAAACTATAGAACTAAAAAAATCCAATGCTAGAATTATTAATGGTGTATTATAAATGCTAATCAAACCAACACATATACAATTTAGCTGCAGAACATATGGTGGGAGGTTCGGATCGGTTCTATTTTGGGTATAATGACTCAATTTTATTACTATACATTTTTACACCAACCTATGCTCCTGTAGCAATTTAAAAAGATGTAGAAATATTGCAACTAAAAGCTGGCTAGAATCAACCTGTCACGGCAAATATAAAAATACTAAAACATACTAATATAATGATATGGGTGTGTAATACAAAGTCATCATTTCACTGGTGTTTTGGGACATGCACATGCTCTGTTTACTGGTGTATAAGATATAATGAGACATGCTCGAGTGTGCGGCTGTGGCTCCAGTGCTGCTGAGGGAACAGCTTGCAGTGCTAGTGATCAAGCATCGTGATTAAGCGCCAACTGTGAGAAAACTCTCCTTGTGTTGAGCCCAATTCAGGCCTGTGCTGATTGCACTCATCAGGGTCCGTATGCTGCAGGGTCTGGAGCCTCCCCGACTGCTGTGAAGAGGCCCAATTCTGACATTTTAAAAATCACTGTATTAGACACACAGGGGAAAACTGTGGATTTAAAGGCAATGTAGGGAATTATTGAAGGAGAAAGGGATGAGTGCTCACTGGGACACTGCAGTAAATGGAGTGAATGCAAACCAGGTGCACTGCAGACTTGTGGGACAGGTCACTTTTAATGAAGGAGAGATAGAGCATTAGCAGCACTTAAACAACTGATGAAAAATAAGTCAAATATTGCGCGAATTTGGCTACATTTATCTTAATTTGAGCACATTTTGACTGCCTTCAAACTAGATTTGCCAATGGAGAAGCCAAATTAATTCATTCATTCATTTTCTACCCCTTTATTAGTCCATTTCTGGGTGGGGGGTTTGGAGGTTTGGGGACATTCAGAGCTCCCACCCAAATTGCTTTGTCTCATTGGCAAATCTTGTTTTAAGATCGTCAGAATGTGCTCAAAATAAGATAAAAACCACTCGATTCAAGCAATTATCACCTCATACGTTATCATTTGTTGCAGTGCAGCTCTGAATTTAGCAAAGTAGCGAGTGTCATTGTGACTTATTCGGAGTCTTAATTAAAGTAAGTGGACAACATAGAGCTCTATTGAAATAAGGGTGCTCACATGTCCATGGTCACGTGTCAGGGCAACCAACATTTTCAAAATAATAAAAAAAACTGCACACAGCATAAAGCTCACATAAGGAAATGTTACCTACAGCTATTTGTAGTGGATAAACAGTACATGCAACAAAATATACAAAATGACAAAGAGGTGTGCACTGACGACAAACCAAACGGAACAGGGCACTCAACAAAGTAGCAGCCAGATACAGAGCGGGACATCAACAATATTGCATTTTTTCAAAGTCACATTAAGAGAGTATAGAACCGGGTCCTGGATATCCAAGGATGGGGGAAAATCTATTTTTTGACTAGAACCTGTGGGTCATACCATCAGGGGGTTGATCCAAAAAGATTCTCTGCGGCGGAGGTGCTGTAGACTGTGCATACTGTTGAATAACTTTGATAACTGTGGCTATAAGAGAGTTAGGGCGGCTGTGACCTGCTTGATTGTAAGGTCTTATCATAGGGTACAACATATTTCAAGTTCTTATTGCATATTTATGTTCAGCCAAGCTATCTTTGGACCTTGGTTTAGTATGACAGGTGTAAAACACACACACCCATAATGGTTGCGTTACTGTTGGCAAAGCGTCAGTGCGTTTAATGAAATGATCCATGAATGAGCTGATATTTACAGTCTATGGTATCTATACTTTTGTACTACATAATGTTGTTGCATTATGCCACTGCCACATCCAAAGGTGCCATTCTTTTGAGGGAGCCATGTCTTTTTTACTCTTTGTTGTGGCAATTCAAGTTTAAGATGTTTTTTAGGCGTGAGTGCCTTTCGTAAAGCACACAGAGGGGATTCATGGAAAACTGGTTAGAATGAAGGGTCACTCTAAAGCACAGATGTCAAACTGCTGGTTGGGGCCACACACAAAAAAAGATTTTAAAAAGAAAAACACCATAGATTTCTCTTTTTACAAATATTTTACAATTTTATTTTCTAGTAGGTTTGGCATCAACCACAACTGGCCAAATATCAAGAAGAAATGTATTTGAAGACTGATATTTAATTATGTATTTATTATATATTGAACTTACTATAACTTCTAATTACATTTCAGTTAACCTTTTAGAACAAATTCAATTATATGGTAGTTTTCCTGAGGTTTTTTATTTATTAGGCAAATTAAGTAGAGCATGCCATAGTAACCCATTACCATCAATTCTGCAAGTTACTGTGAAAAAGATCATCTAAAATAATTTCAGGGCCACTAAAAATGGTCTTGCAGGCCAGATTTAGCCCACATGCCTGAGTTAGACATGCCTGCGTTAGAGTACACCCCACTTTTTTTTTTGTTATAATGTTGTATGTAAATAAGGAATAATTATTGAATCAACATCTTTTATAGCACATATAGAAAGGTTTCTAATGAAGCCTCTCGAGAAATTTGCTACACAGGAGACACTGTACAGTAAGGCTGGGATACCTACATTTCAAAACAGGATAGACAAAATCTGTCTGCCTTGTTTCAAAAGCTCTTATGAAAGTTTTAGATAATTTCTTATTCACATTATATAATTGTATGTATTTATTTCAAACATGCACGAGATACAAACAATTTTTCACAGGAAAATATGATAAAAGAGGACAAGAAAACCTGTGTATGGTGTGTTCATAACTTTGTGACATTTTCTGTTTCTATTTGTTGTTTATTTCTGTGCAATTGTTGATCTCATGAAATGATCTCAGCTTAAGCCTGGTTCACACACACACTAAGAGAAAGTGCTGGTTACCCTGGCAACACACAGATTACTTGCAGCAGTTAGCATTTAATTTTGTTGTTTTTCAGTTATATCAACCAGTTTTAGCATGTAGTGAAGACAAAACGGAAGGAATTAATTAATTTAAAATAAAAGTAGTGTTTTTTTTCAGAATTCCATCAGTCAGCTCAGAGATTTCTGGTAGTTTCATAATTCCGGGAGACCGTTGCAGTATCCTGTAATTCCTCTAGGTGGCGCCGTGAGCGTGGCCGGCTGCCGGAGAGGACAGTTTCATAACAAACCCACTCTGTCCGCTGTTGAAGGTAACCACTGCCTATTTCTCTGACAAAAAACGATGCCTTGTGTGAAAAATGCATGTATGTGAACACACGAAGGACACGGGATGGATTATGCTTGTTGTCAGTGTATGCCGCGTTTTATTAGTCAGGAAATAGTGAAGTTAGTCGGCTAGCATGCTACATAGCTAACACCCCTTACCTAACATTACACACACATGATTGGGTTATTGTTGAAACTATGATGCTCACTCAACATCTGTACACATACATCTGTTTAAGAAATGCAACATTGATAAGAATGTCTTTGATAAACACTAAATAGATGAAGATTAGGCAGACCATTGCGTCCCTGAATGAATGAACATGATTTGGGTTCATCATGTTCATGCTGTCTGCAGGCGGCCCCTGAAGTCACAGAATGTGCAAATGGCATTTACTGCAGTGTAATGGCTTTCATAAGCAGCTTTTCAGAATTTAACACGTGAAAACGATTCCATGGAGTATTGTGGATGGTTACGTTTATTACTTAAAAAGGCAAAACCTCTCTTGTGGGTCTTGTTTTAAACATATTTTGAGTTAGATAGATACTTTTAGGAGAAATTCAGAGTTGTTTTCATAAGTAAATTATAATATTCAACTATATCATATGTGTGTATTATTTCCACAAAGAATTTGCTAGTTCAGCATTAATAGTAACTGTTCACGGTATTATGCAGTACAACACAAACAGTACAATATTGGTAGAGTAGTATGGCACAGTTTTTCTCTCTACTTTGTCTTTAATAGCCGGTCATTAACCGAAATTGAAGGGACGAGTGAAAATTGCATCAAATCAAAGCTGACTCATTACACAAATGGGTTCAATGGACTTTGTAAACTCTGGACTCTGGTCAGGTTGACACCAATTTATGTATTACAACTATTCACTAATGGAATGGGGAACCATATCAATTTGTAAATAATAATTAAACACTGAGATTAATGACTATCGTCATCATCAATGTTTCTTAATATAATGCTGGAAAGTGGCCCTTGTCATCTTGGTTGAGGATTATGTATTACATGAAATGATAAACTAACCACTAATCTTTGATGTTTTCATTTGTATTTGAGCTTTTGCTGTCATTTATCATTTTTTTTTCATGGAAGATAAGAAAAGAAAACCTTTATTCGTCCCTCAGTGGGGACATTTTGGTGTAGTAAGAACTCAAGTGTAGTACTCAAAATATACAGAGATATTGTAGCTAGTTAATATACTGAAGTATTAGTTACAATAGTTTCTTTTCTTGTCCATTGCTCATGAGTCTCTCTTCTCCAGGTGCTCCTTCCCTCCTCTATGTTACATAAATGATGCGCTTGGCGGCGACTTCCCTGTGTCTCCGGTGCCTTCGTGTCCCGAGCCTGGCTCCTCACGTCAGGCCATGCAGCACCACGAGACCAGCGGAGAACCAGCAGACCGTGGACACTCTCTATGAACTGTCAGTTGACCTCCAAAAGGTCAGAAAACTTAAGGCCTGGGTTCTGCATCAGCACCCTGCGTATGCTAAGGAAGTCGCTCACCTCTTGAGGGACATGGGGGCTTCAGGGCCGGTCATCGCCAACGTTTTAGTGGATCACCCTGAAGCCGTCTTGTGCAACCCAGAGGAGATGACAGCTCAAAGGGAACTGTGGGTGTCTGTGTGTCCGAACAAGAAAGAGCTCATCGGTATTATCGAGAAGTTCCCCGCTTCGTTCTTCACCTCCGCCAGTCACCACAACAACCAACGCAACAACATCGCTTACTTTCAGAGCTTGAATCTAAACAAACGCATTATCACCAAGCTCATGGCCAGCGCGCCTCAGAGCTTCAGCCGCCCAGTGGAACAAAACCAAGTGATGGTGGACACTTTGCAGCGCTCCTATTTAGAACTGGGAGGGGAGAAACTCAACATGAAGATATGGTTACAGAAACTGCTCAGCCAAAACCCATTCGTCCTGTTGAAATCCGCTGAAGCGCTACGCCAAAACCTACTCTTCCTCCGAGACAGAGGCTTCACCACCGCAGAGCTGCTCCACCTTCTCTCCAAGCTCCGCGGCTTCGTCACTGAGCTTCACCCAGACAGCATGAACCAAACTCTGCAATACTCCCAGGAGATGATGGCTTGTTCTGGAGACGAGCTCCGGGAAATTGTCCTGAAATGCCCGGCTCTTTTGTACTACCCCAAACACATCTTGACGGAGCGCTTCGAGGGCCTGCTGGGAGCTGGGATCAGTGTGTCTCAGATCATAGACACGCCCACTGTCTTGGAGCTGACCACGCAGATCGTCAACTACCGGCTGCAGAAACTGGCGGCCCATGGTTATGATGCAAGGACGGGTTCTTTAGATGTTCTCAACGGCACCAAAAAGGACTTCGAACAAAGCTACGGGAAGCTAAGGCTACGCGTGGAGAGGCCGCTGTTCAACCCGGTCGCTCCTTTGAAAACATATGATTGATATAAAACTGTTTTGGAGACTGTGTGGATGCTGTTATTTATTTAATAGCAGTTTTCATTGGGGTGAAAACATATTGTCTATCTCGCCTTAATAAACAAAACTAAGACTGAGAAGACGTTTTTATTTTTCCGTTGTCAGTAATTGTCTTGTTTTATTGTAATCCAGCATGGGTTAATATACAGCATTTAAAATTCCAGTTATAATGGCCAAACATCCATCCATCCATTTTCTACCCTTTAATCCATTTCTGGGTCAGGGGGGTGGCAGTCAGAGATGCCACCCAAGTCTCATAGCACCAGCCCCTCACTGACCCTCTGCAGGTGGTGAGTCCACAGGAGGACGGCTGCTCTCTGAGTGTGAGCATAGCCTTGATCTTTCAGTGGGGGCTTTGGGCAAAGTGGGGTTAAGTGTCTTGCCCAAGGACACAACGACAGCAGTCATCAGTGGGAGTCGGTGGAGAAGGTGCAGAGGTGGGAATTGAACCCACGACCTTCTGGGCTTAAGGCCAATGCTCTACCAACTGAGCTACTGTCACCCCTTGTCTTGTTTTATTGTAATCCAGCATGGGTTAATATACAGCATTTAAAATTCCAGTTATAATGGCCAAACATAATTGTAATTAATATGCAATAGTTTTGTTTTTGCTTTGCTTAAAATGGCCAGGATTTTAATAACTGCTAAAATAACTCATAAAATAATTGCATTTTTACATTGAGTCGCATGTTTCCAGTGTAAAGGAAAAGGCAATTTTTTATTTCGTTTTTTACTTTTTAAATATTGAAAAATACACACAGAGAGACAGGCAGAGGGCAAACAATCACCAAAAAAATATTTAAACCTATAAACCACAGCATTGTTCTACATAATGATGGTATGTTGAGTGTAAAGAGAAAGTTTTAAGAAAATTTGAAGAATTATCCAGGCAAAACGACATTTATATGAACCCATAAAGCAGTATTTTTGGGTTCAGTATAAGTGCAGTTTTTGTGAATCGGCAATGATTTGTGAAAAAAAAGGATATATTTGCCCAATCTTGGACAAATATTCTTGATGTTCCTCACGATCATCCTCTTTCTTTTTGACCACTATCATAGAAAAGTGGCACAAACGATTACTGTTGCTTCATCGCATTAATTGTCATGATAATTGTCTCTTTCCGTTCTTATCACGCACATAGACCTGTTATTAGATCATTATGTATTTATGCAGCTTTACTTGTTAACATTCACAGCAGTATACGCTCACATCCCAAGCCACCCTGGTTTAAAGGCAAATATACCTTATTACTCTATACAAGCTGGCGTAAATGGGCACATAAAAGTATGAAATATGAGGCGCAGACTAGACTATCAAGTAAGTAAGTAAGTTAGTAAGTTTTTATTTATATACCGCCTTTTCACTGCAGATCTGAGTCTCAAAGCGGTTTACAATTGTTAATTTTTGGGCATTTGTCTCTCACTCCACACAGAGATGGGAGCGGGGTCGCCAGTATAGGAGGCGCATGCCAGAACTATTGGACATATTTTTAGTGGTAGGGGAAACCGGAGTACCCGGAGGAAACCTACGCAGACACGGGGAGAACATGCAAACTCCACTCAGAAAGGCCCTGGTCCGACCGGGATTCGAACCCAGGACCTTCTTGCTGAGAGGCGAGAGTGCTATCCACTCAGCCACCGTGCCGCCCAAGTGCATTAAGCCTCATGACTGGAGACTAATAGGACTTTACAACCTTTTTATTAACAGCCTTGTAAGTGTCTCATTTTCACTGTTCCTGGCAGCGCTACTGTTCCCCTCGGGGATGGGCCTAACAGCGACTCTCATTTTTAGTGTTACTTTACAGAGGCAGACACTTTGTTATGAGCTATTCACTGCTGAAATGTGCCTTCATTATCATATCAAATGAATTCTAATGCACTTGCACAATGACATAAAAGGGGGAGACAAAAACAAGCACCTTCTCTTTGATTTACACGTGGCATATTTGAACATACTTTGCAGTCTACGCCCGAGTTACGCAAAATTGATTTTTCATTATGTGCCAGCGCGTCTATTATTAATCATTTCAAGTCGGGCTTCGTTATGGTAAAGTAAAATGACTTCAGTGTCTGCTTTTATATTACCAGACAAAAAGAGGAAACGCTAGATCAATATGCAATCATACTGAGCATTGTCTGAGAGGCCATTACATCTCATTTGAAGTAGAAGCGCTGACAGATGCCCTGGGAAGCTGTGTGAGTGTGTTTTAATGGAGAGACTTCCTCTGCTAATGAAGCTCTGACTTTATGCCTCAAGGTGTCCTCCTCCTCCTAATGCGGACTGCCGGGGTCAGTGCAAAGACTCGGCCCAAGTTGAGCCTCCTGCGGGATCTTGGTGTGCACTAACAACTTCTCCAAGCCCATCTGCCTCTGCTCTGCATCCTCCGGACCCGTCGTCATGGAGATGGGAAGACGATGTGAAAGTGTCTTGGTAATGAATTGGCGCCACTCCGATGAATGCTTGACCGGACAATTCCAAAACCACAAGAGACACGCTTCCCCCAGAGGAAACTCAAGTACAACATTGTAAAAGGTTCATTGAATCCATCATGCAAGGTCAAGAGATCACTTTTCCTCATTGGTGCTTAGTAAAAAATAAGAGTTAATCAGGATGTAGTGAGGCAGACAAGGCCTCAAGTGGATTGTACAAGTCACCTCTATTTCGCCCTGTCATCCTGCACCACTGCCCTGAATTACACTTGCGAGCTGCAAAGGTTAATAACAGGTGGAATAAATGGCCTCATTTCAAACACGGCCCTGGTTGATATTAGAACACTGCTACGAGAATAAAATTGAACCAATAGTATCTAGAAATAGGTGATGAGCTCAGACAAGCTTACACCGCTTTTATGTATATAGAAGATTATATTGTACATGACCAGTCCTGAATTCTGTTCTTTATTTTGCTGCACTTGCAGAATCCTATACAGTCTTCCTAACACTAAGAACACGTACAATAGATCCAGTATGAGCCTCCTGTATGGTGAACCGTTCATCACTGTAGAGTGAGGAGAAATGCCAATCGTGAAGCCCTTTGTGACAGTCTGAGAGGAGCTATATAAAGAGAGATTACTTACAAGGTCGCCCCACATGTCTTTGTGCAGACAAACTACTACAACGTGTTCATGCAAAAGATGAACATCACTTGAAACCTAGCTCAAATGTTGTCATTTTAGGTAGAGATGCCGCTTTAAGTCAGAGCGTGTTAATAATTTGAACAAATCTGGAAATCTTGCTTTACACATTAGTAGTGTAGTTAGTGCTATGTACCATGTCGTTTTCTTTTCATGATTAGTATGTGTACTGTACAATTATCTTTCTACCATTGTGCTTATGGTGATTCACCTGTGACATCACAGCTGCACTGACAATATGTTTATGAGTCAGTGAAGACAGATCTAGTCTGTTCACTGCTCCAGGTCTGTCAGAGCCAGACTGAACAGAACAGACTGATGTGTGATATGACCCTGTACATTTACACACTTATCCACTTCACTATGAAGACTCGGCTTTAATAGAACTAAATATGTTTGAAAAGAATAGATGTTTTGATTTGGTAAATGTACATCATGACATCTATTGCAGCACCTCATTTCTCCACAAGATGGCGCCAAACGTTTTGTGTCAGCAGTTAAAATGAAAGCAGAGGGCCTAAATGTATAAAGAACAAGCATTTAGTAAAAATGAGATGTTTGTGGTGCATAATGAGAAAACATCCAATGAACAGGGAAAATGAAAGATAAAAGAATCTTTACTTGTCCCACAGTAGGGAAATGTCAGTGTTGCAGTGCACGTTACATCAACAGGAGCACACAAAACAGGATGAACAACAACAAGATAAATACTTATTTCTCTAGAGCTGAAATACTCAACTGCGGTCCTTTTTCTCAAAAACTTCAAATTTAAACTGTATTCCATTTTCTTCTTGAATTTCACATGGCACACCAGGAAACCTTAGAAGTACAAAATATGTCATTATTATTTAAGACAAGAAGGAATAGTATGGTGAGGGAGATTCTTACTGGTCTTGCAGTTGAAATACACTTTTGTCAAACTCTGGGAAGAACACGTCGCAGTCAAACGTGGCCATGACGTCGGTGAGGTAGATGAGGTCACACCAGGGGTGCATCATGCCATCCTGAGGACACCAGGTGAGAGTTTAAGACACCACAAGACACCAGAATACAAGTCCTAGTTTCCAATCAACAACAGAGACCAACCAATCCAGAGAAGATTTAGTGATGGTTAATAGTAAATAATATAGTTTAAAATTGTCCCATTTCCACTGATACTGATACTTTTTTGTATTTCTCAGTGTAGAGGCCAGGCCATGTCTTGCTAGAGGGATCCAGAGTTGGGTAACATTATCAATTACTTTATACAAATGTAATTCATTAAACTAATTAAATTACTTATTAAGTCATAATTTATGAAAGACCTTTAAACAGCGTTAAAAGAACAATTTATTAATCTTAACAGCCTGAAATGTACATGGGTGACAACTTCTCACTGAGCCAAACATGACTCTGTACGTTACATTTCAAAGTAATGAGAGAAACTCAACATTTGTGGAGCTTTGTCTTTCCCTCATTACTGCCTGCATCTTGACTAAACATTATGGGCCAATAATATAGGATCAGCTTCATTGAGGTCCAGCATTCAATTATTGTTAGTTTATCTTCATTTATTTTCAGAAATATTCTTTGTACAATGAACCTCAGTAAAGAGACTACAGTAAAGAGGAGAGTTGTACCTTATAAACCCGAGTGCCTCCGACAACCCAGATGGTCTCCACGATGTCACTGAGAGGCGGCTGTGAGGCCAGGAGCACAGCACTTTCAAAGTCCTTACACAGGAAGTGGGCATGTTCTGGAGCCGTTCTATTCACACAACAACAAACTTATCTAGTTAATAAAGTATAAACACATACAACACACCACTTGTATAACTCACTCTAGTGTTTTACTCAACACAACATGCAGAGTGTTAGCCAAAGGGAGTAAGTCTTCAGGGCTGGAATACCAACACAGTTTCCCCCAAATCAACAAGTTCATTTTCCCTAAAGACAAAACATATCACATCAACAACATTCTTTACTTGCCATTAAAAATGACAAGTTCAGTAACCTACCGGGTTTGGATACACTTGTGATATTCTTGACGAAGTACTGGAATTCAGACCTGTAACATTAATTTAACAGTGAACAATCGCCTTATTTTACTTTACTGAACTTCAAATAAAACAGAAAGGTCAACTAAACCTCAAATGATGCGACAACCTGGCTAAAACACACTATTCATGAGAGACAGTGGTGCGACAAACCTTCAACGCTTTTTGAGTTAAAGACCACAAATGAAGACTGTTTACAAAGCAACTTTGGATGTTTTATCATTATGGTTTTGTTTTTAAAAGCTAAAAGTGGGGTCTGCACAAGAAATCACACACAGAAAAGTTTTTATACAGTGGAATCCCCAGCTCCAGATGCCTTGTCCAATAATGTTCTATATTTAGCTCCATCTCACCTTCCCATCAACTCTCCCCTATCCCTGCTGAAGAAAAACAGCCCTATAACATGATACTGCCACCCCCATATTTAACATTGGGGAGTGTGCACTGAGGGTGGTAGTTTTTTCATTTTTCTTTGTGATTTTACATTTGTGTCAAAAGAGTTAAATCCAGTTCTCCTCTGACCAAAAAAAACCTTCGATCATGTTGAATGCGTCCCCCGCTTTGCTTCTTGTGGTTTTTTTTATAACCCTAATGCCATCTCTCATCTGTCCACAAAATGCCAGATTTGTGTAGAGCATGACCAATATTTTCCCCACGTACAGATTCCCCCAGGTCAGCTGTGGATGTCCGCATCTGCAATCAGTGTCGTCGTCGTTGTCGCTGAGAGTTTAGACAGACAGCAGAGTCTTGGTAGATTTGCAGTTGTGCTACACCCTTCCCATTTCTGAATAATGGATTAAACGGTGTTCAGAGATGATCAAAGCTTTGGTTAGGTTATACAAACATTTCCAAACTTCTCTACAACTTCCTCCCTGACCTCTCTGGTGTTCTCCTTTGCCTTCATGATGCTGTTTAGTGACCAAGACCACAGCTTTGAGGCACTTGTAGAGCACTTTTCTCAACACAACATATCACATAAGGCATAAATCATCATATAAATCATATCAAATTAAACATTAAAATCAAATAGGGAATTAAAATCAAACATTAAGATCATACTGAAAATTAAAATCACACTGGTAATTAAAAATAATAAAACCACACAAGGGATTAAAATAATATAAAAACAGTAGTAGCCGGTCTCACATTTTCAACACAGGTGGGTTCCATTATAGCATCAGGGAAAGGTGTGAAAATGCTTCGACTTCAGTTGTCTGTCACTTGTGTGTAAACCATTCTGCATAAAATCTTTGTACATACTTTACATAAGCATTTTGAGCATTTACACCTAAGCGTGACTCAAATCCAAAAATGGAAAGATGCCGAACCTGTTAAATTGGCTCTCATCCATTTGGGTGCAGCATGAAGATTTGTCCCACAGTATCTTCCACAATATCATAATCTTATTTTTTTTTTCAACTATATAATTTTTGCCGTAAATGACCAGTCTCAGCTCACCTCCCTTCTGAGCACATCCTGGACTTTGTGTTGTCAGGATGCAAACAATGACAAACTCAATTCAGATACTAAAGAAATATAGACTTTTTTTTTTTTTTAGTAAACATGGTAGCCTTTGGGAACATAGCTGACTGGTTTCATACATGTCTGTCCTGTACATGACAAATAAGCATTATACATAAAATAGGTCTGAGGATTACATTAAAACACGCAACAGAATATCATATTTTGACTTTTGATTTTTTCCCAGAATGGATACTTTCTAATATCAGCATCTAGTTGTTTCATTAAATAGTATTGGTTAATATAAGCTAAGAAACTTTATGGCAGTATAAAAATAAGAATTAAAAAAATATCCTTTAATCATCCCACAGTGGGGAAATTTCAGTGTTGCATCAGCAGTTACAGGACAGTAACTCTATATACTATTATAAAATCAAATATAATCTCTAAAGTCTAGCATAATACAGATATCTAGTAGTTTCAATACTTATTTTAGTATTGGTTCATTTCAATTTTTCGATTATTTTGACAACCCCACTAATACTAGTCACAGTAAATCGATAATTGTGTCACGTGACTCACGGTAGACGCCACGGCAGACCTCCGTTCTTCCCGATGCCCAGACCTCGACACGCAGCGGCGATCAGTCTCACGGGTTTCCTCTGCGTCTGCTTCTCCTGCTTCTCCTGCTCCTCCATCTTTGGCGTCTCCATCTCCTGCGTCTCTCTGCACCACAGCTGTCTGCAGAAGCGTGGCCCTGTCTCTGGAGCTCAAACTCTTTAAACTTTTGCCACAGCTGTTCCCGCCCACGCAGCTCCTAACGCCGATTGGTCCGTGCGCAATCTCCCATCTGCTCCGTGGCTGGTCATAATCGGTCATACTCGGTCATATCCCACTGATGTGCCCGGAGCGACGTGGTCCCCCAGTCTGCGGGTCTCACGAGGCCACACGAGTTTCTACTGCTCATAATCACCGTAATCATTAATAACTGTACCTACATTTGTCAGGGGTCATTCGTAATACACACAGATTTTCTAGATCTCGTTTTCTATAATTTGTCTTTGTTTGTAACCTACTTTTTCACCTGATCAATCAATTGATCAATTAAAAAAACAGCCTAGGCTTACCAAAGTGCAGTACAGATTAGGGAAAAACAAAAAAACGATAAATCTTTAAGTTCAGCCATGTTACCATTAAATTGTTATTAAATCCACTCTGATTGGGTAGAATTTCAAAAAGTTATGAAATATATCCCTATATATCAGTAATCATCACTGCTTATGACTTTAAAATTCTTGCACTAGAGTCTGACAGATTCATCTACAGACATTTACGTACAAGCATATATTTATTTTGAGAGTACACAGATCCATACGTCAAATGCTTTATATACTTTGTCTGTTTATTAGGCTAAATATTGATTTGATTTCATGTTTTAGAGTTGTGCGATACATAAGCACTGATGCTCCTCCTACCCCATTCCTACTGTTCTGTAACTTGTGATGCAACATTGAAATTTCCTCATTGTGGGACAAAAACATGATTTTGTTTAACTTAAATATTATGTATGTTCTTTCTTAGCCCTCTGTACACATCTTTTCCCTGACATTTTACTTTTGCTCGTCACTTTTAAACTACTTACTTTACCAATAAAGACATGACATAACAACATGTGTGGTTACAAAAACAAGTGGTTAGCCATGCTTCTAAGAAAATTAATTGATTTGAATTTCCGATACCCACTCAGCTGAAATTCTACATGATTTGATTCTCATTCTGTGCTTGTATGAAACCGTACTCATGTTTTAAGCGTTTAAAGTCTAAACTTCAAACATATTGTACATTAAGTATTCAATAAATATGAATTTTACTTTACTGAAGTCGGGGTCCCACCCTGGAGCCAGGCCTGGGGTCGGGGCTCGCAAGCGAGCGCCTGGTGGCCGGGCCTTAGCCCACGGGGCCCGGCCGGGCTCAGCCCGAAGGGATGACGTGGGCAGTCCCTCCTGTGGGCCCACCACCTGCAGAGGGGTCCGTGGTGGCGAGGTGCAGCGAGGACTGGGCAGCAGTCGAAGGCGGAGACCTCGACGACCCAGTCCACACACCCAACATCTGGCTCTTGGGACGTGGAACGTCACCTCACTGGGGGGGAAGGAGCCCGAGCTTGTGGGGGAGGTTGAGCGATACCGACTAGAGATAGTCGGCCTCACCTCCACACACAGCTTGGGCTCTGGAACCCAACTCCTTGAGAGGGGTTGGACGCTCCACTTTTCTGGTGTTTCCCGCGGGGAGAGGCGGCGAGCTGGGGTGGCCATACTCATTGCCCCCCATCTCAGCCGCCACGTGTTGGAGTTCTCCCCGGTGAATGAGAGGGTCGCGTCCCTCCGCCTCCGGGTGGGAGACAAGTCTCTCACTGTTGTGACGGCCTACGGGCCTAACGGCAGTGCAGAGTACCTGGCCTTCTTGGGGTCCTTGGGAGGGGTACTGGACAGTGCACCGCCCGGGGACTCCGTTATTCTCCTGGGGGACTTCAACGCCCATGTGGGAAATGCCAGTGACACTTGGAGAGGGGTGATCGGGAAGAACGGCCCCCCTGATCTGAACCCGAGCGGTGTTCAGTTGTTGGACTTCTGTGCCAGTCACGGCCTGTCCATCACGAACACCATGTTCGAGCACAAGGGTGTCCACCAGTGCACGTGGCCTCTCTACAAGAAGGGGGACCGGAGGGTGTGTTCCAATTATCGTGGGATCACACTCCTCAGCCTCCCCGGTAAGGTCTACTCCAAGGTACTGGAGAGGAGGCTACGTCCGATGGTCGAATCTCGGATCCAGGAGGAGCAGTGTGGTTTTCGTCCCGGTCACGGAACACTGGACCAGCTCTATACTCTCCATCGGATACTCGAGGGTTCATGGAAGTTTGCCCAACCTGTCCACATGTGCTTTGTGGATTTGGAGAAGGCGTTCGACCATGTTCCCCGGGGTGTCCTTTGGGGGGTCCTCCGTGAGTACGGGGTCCGGGGTCCTCTGCTGAGGGCCGTCCGGTCCCTGTATGACCGGAGTCAGAGCTGTGTTCGCATTGCCGGCAGTAAGTCAGATCTGTTCCCGGTGCATGTTGGCCTCCGCCAAGGCTGCCCTTTGTCACCGGTTCTGTTCACTGTATTTATGGACAGAATTTCTAGGCGCAGCCAGGGGCCGGAGGGGGTCCGGTTCGGGGACCACAGGATTTCATCTCTACTTTTTGCGGATGATGTCGTCCTGCTGGCTCCAACAAACCAGGACCTGCAGCATGCACTGGGACGGTTTGCAGCCGAGTGTGAAGTGGCTGGGATGAGAATCAGCACCTCCAAATCCGAGGCCATGGTGCTCGACCGGAAAAAGGTGCCTTGCCCTCTCCAGGTGGGTGGAGAGGTCCTTCCTCAAGTGGAGGAGTTCAAGTATCTCGGGGTCTTGTTCACGAGTGAGGGAAGGATGGAGCGTGAGATTGACAGGCGGATCGGTGCAGCGTGCGCCGTAATGCGGTCTCTGTATCGGACCGTTGTGGTGAAGAGGGAGCTGAGCCGAAAGGCGAAGCTCTCGATTTACCGGTCAATCTTCGTTCCCTCCCTCACCTATGGTCATGAGCTTTGGGTAATGACCGAAAGAACGAGATCGCGGATACAAGCGGTCGAAATGAGCTTCCTCCGCAGAGTGGCTGGGCGCTCCCTTAGAGATAGGGTGAGGAGCTCAGTCACACGGGAGGAGCTCGGAGTAGAGCCGCTGCTTCTCCACGTTGAGAGGAACCAGTTGAGGTGGCTCGGGCATCTGTTCAGGATGCCTCCTGGACGCCTTCCTGCGGAGGTGTTCCGGGCACGTCCCACCGGGAGGAGGACCCGGGGAAGACCCAGGACACGCTGGAGGGACTATGTCTCTCAGCTGGCCTGGGAACGCCTAGGGGTCCCCCCGGACGAGCTGGAGGAAGTGTGTGTGGATAGGGAAGTCTGGGGGTCTCTGCATAGACTGCTGCCCCCGCAACCCGGCAACGGATAAAGCGGAAGAAAATGGATGGATGGACTTTACTGAAGTACATAGGTAAGTACTTTATTTTAACAGACAGGGTATGATGCAGAGGTTTATCTTATACTAATTTCTTAACATGTTTGCACATAGTAAGTAATAGTAAAAATAAGGGATATCATAAAATTGCTAACTTACTATTGCCTGGTATTGAAGAACAAAACCCGGGACTAGTGCAAGCATTTCCCACCTCTTGATTAAAACATAGACAGCTTTCCCAGCATGCAAAGCTCTTTAGATCATCCACCGGTCTCCATGGCAATTGATCCATAACACCAATCTATGTGTATTCTTTATTATCATTCAACCACATTCAACAGATGGTCATTTTTGTACAAAAATAATAATAATAATCTAAAAACACAAAGACAGGCATTTACAGAGCTGTTGAAAATATGTACAGTCGCTCCACAGCAAAATATACAAAACTGAAACATATTTACATAAAGATACAGGATTTCCAACGTTCTGCTACTTCCACCGTTTAAGACCTTTGACCTTTACATCTACAGTATGGCCTTTGACAATGGTTGAGTCTTCTGTGGGAAAAGTTAACTGTTGGTAAACCATAAAAACAAAATGGGAGTTCAGTGACATAATGATTGGAATTTAAACATTTTGTATAACATGTGCTACTGGGAATTATTCATATTTAGACATAATACAATATGGCAACTCTCTGAAATTGATCGATTACAGAAAAAACAAATACAAACACAAAAGTGAATATACGAAAAACACATCTCATGGTCCTTGACAAAACAAGTCAAATTGTCTGGATGTATAAATGGGATATGACAATGGAATCACTTTTACTCTGGAAGACAGCATTTGCAGTGAAGAAATGTTCACATGAATACACATATTATATATCATTTTAAAGGTAAAGGTGCACTTTATTAATCCCCGTAGGGCAATTCAATCCTCTGCATTTGACCTTTCCTGATGCCGCGCAGGCTTCCGTCAGTGGTCGCCGTAGTAACAGCGCCCGGGAACCCACCTCCAGATGTTGATGCTGGGCTTGGTCAGGACTACCAGAGCTGGAGGATTTAACCTAGTGTGCATGTTTTTAGTGGTAGGGGAAACGGGAGTACCCTACGAAGGCACGGGGAGAACATGCATACTCCACTCAGAAAGACCCTGTTCCGACCAGGACCTTCTTGATGAGAGGCGAGAGTGCTATCCACTCAGCCACCGTGTCGCAGCTGTGATAAATATCATAAATAATAATAACGGGATAATATGCCAAGCCTGCCCTGTGTGACCTGAGAGTGGTTTATTGCCAATTATTAAAGAAAATACATTTTAATACAGTACAATACCAGTTCTTCCATTGATTTTGGAGCCAGTCCCTTTCTGTGCTCGTGTCCTCACAAAGGGTCCATGTGGTTTTTAAGAATGGCCATTTCTTGTAGCTTTGTGAAGCTGTAACACTTTCTCTGATGCTCCTGTTATTGCTCTGGATTCATGCAGGGCTGGTCAAAAATGTTTGTGGCTATTTGCTTTGCCTCCAGCACTTTGAGCTTCCTTCGTTCAGTGAATCTTCATGGCGTCGCTTCTGTGTGGAGTGTAGTCTTTCTGCATCAGAACCATAAAAGGATTGTCACTTGCACATCAACAACAACAGGATGCATTCACACTTATTGGTCCATGTGGACTGTTGTGTTTCCTACTGAAGCCAACAGAGTCCAGTGGATCAACATGTGTGAATATTTATTATATTATATACCTGTCCTGGACGGTCCCTCGTGTGCAGAGGCATCTTCACCAGAACCTGCTTGAAGTTGACGATTTGTACCATTGTTGAGATTTGCAGGAACAGAAGCCAGGAGGCCTGAACAATCCAAACAAAACAAATCTTAATAATACAAACAGTAGGTATGTGAAAACAATAAGAGTTTGACAATGTGTTTACCAAGTCCTCTGTAACACGAAAGCTGCTGATAAATCTGCTTCATTCGTTCTATGTTGATGCGGCTCGCCTCGCCGTGGTTCACCATTGGTTTTGGATAATGCAGTCCGATAACACACTTGGCTGCCTTCTGTACTTCTTCTGGAGCGTTCCAAGGATCATAAATGTACTTAGCAGGGTAAGCACGCAAAATGGGCAAGTACCGCCTGCAAAAGAAAGAAATACATGAGAAATGCGATGAGACAAAGACATAATAAGTACAATACGACAAATTATCAAATACAAACCTTATGTAGTCTCCATTGGGGTCCGTGCGACGTCCAAACCCTACAGGGCAGTAGCAGTGAAAGAACTGCTGGAAGAATGAGCTGCAGGAGAGCCACATCCAGCTGCCAGCATTCACACTCCAGTCTGCATCAAGGAGCAACTCTTCAAACACCTGTTCCACAAACACAGACTGTTAGAGGACTCTTTATGCTCACTTCCTCAGAAGTCTCAATCTTGTCCTGTATACCTCACAGGACAAGACACCACCTCAGCAGGCTTCTCCACTGGGAGGAACAGTGGCTTTAATCAAAGTTCCTCCAGTGTGCTTGAATTCTAAACCCATCTCTAAGGGAGTACCCAGCCAATCAGGAGGGAGGCCCCTTTGTCAAGACAAAAACTATGACCATGGAGGTGCTTTGGAGATGCTGACCTCCATCCCAACTACTTTACACTTAACACCAAATCATACAAATTTTCCATCTTACCTTCATTCCTTCTTCCCAGCTGATCCAGAGGTCTCCCCTGGTCAAAAAGCAAGCCACAGCATGCCGAGCCAAGTGGTGTATCCAGCCCTCCTGCCTGAGCTGGGTCATAATGGCGTCAATCCAAGGGAAACCAGTCCGGCCCTCGGCCCACTTAGCCAAAGCCTCTGCATTTCTGTCCCATGGTATTTGGACACACACAGGGTTGCTATCCATCTTGTCGAAGCATGGATTGTTGGTAGCAGTTGTGTAGAAAAACTCCCTCCATAATAACTGTCCGTATAAGGAGAGTGGCGGAGCGCTGTTCTTTTTAACCTTTGAAACGACATTATTATGTTAAGTTATAGTCAAACAGAAAACTGAAAGAAACAAAAACAAAAAAAACAGTTTGTCTTACCTTCTTATAAAGGTCAGTGAGTTTGAAGTAAAAGAGACGACAGGAGAGGCAACCGAAGCGCAGATAAGGGCTGAGACCCGTTGGACTGGCCAGTAAAGAGTTTGCATTCATACGAGGACGCTCAAAGTTGGCTACCCATGCCTACAAATGACAACTTAGTTACATTTTGGAACAATATTTACTTAAATTTCAACCCAAAGAGAGTGAATGAATAATAATATGCCACATATCCTGCATTACCTTCCTCTCCAGATGCCGCTCCAGCCTCATGAGAGCTTCAGTTTCTCCACCTGGCCAGACTGCTGTTGTGAGGCCCTCGGTCTCAAAGCCTTGAACACACAATCACGCGATAATTCTTTGTCCACACGCACTAATTAGGTGCTATTCCAATCAAATTTACCGAGTTCCTCCAGCGATGGCACCCCGTACTTGTCGTCGTGATCATCACTGATGGGAGCGACACATGTTTTCATCAACTCAGCAGTGATGGTCTCTACGGGCAGCTCCACTGGCTCCATGTGGTTGATGAGGGCCTGAAAGCGCTTGTACGTGAGGGGGGGCTGACCACCATTCAGCTCAATGATCCTACAAAGAATATTGGAATTGGGGTAAAAAACAGGTAATAACAGGAAAAAAAAACAATGATTCTAATAAAAGGTCCTTACTTGTCCAAATTGTAGAGTGTGTGAGAAATCCGCACCATGAGCTCCACTCCTGCTTCACTGGCAAGTTTCTGGATGGCAGCATCGCGTTCTTTGCCAAAAGGTTCTGAGTCATATTCGTACGATAAACGATTGATCTTCCATTCCTGTGAAGCATGGGAGAACAGACGAGTCAATTAGGAGTCCCCAGGAGACATTCTGCATCGCTTTCATCATCCAAAATGCAAAGATAATAAATTAAAACCTTGAACAAGCGAGGGAAGACATCTGTTGGTTGACCTCTGATCACAAACAAACGGGAGTTGAGTTTGCGGAGACTGGCATCCAAGTCCTCCAAGCACTGCAGAAGAAACCTGGATATAAAACAAAGGGGGATTAGAGCCATATGGCATTTATTTAAACAAGGAGCACAATGTAAGTAAAATAAATATAATACATGGCAAAGAATGATGACCGACTGCTGTCTCTTTAGAAACAATCATGTTACTAATGCATTTTTACACGTTTACGTCTGATAACCACTGACTAACCTTGAGCTGAACTTGGACTCAGATTCATTTGAACAAAGCAGCCAACACAAAGTCTACAGATAAACAACATGGAGCAAGACAATGTGCAATTGCAATGCGGTGTAAAATATTCAGAACGGTATCATGTGCCTTTCACAAGGAACTGTACATGTTTGGGTCATAACTTAATGTAACGACTATTCAGATGCAAACGTAACAGGTAATGAATGAATGAAGCCCTCAACCAAGACTAAACCATAAACATAACACACATTATAAGACTTACAATCCAGAAGGTAAGAAAGGCACTAAGGACATAAACAGATAACTCATACAAGATATCGACCTTAGTGTGGTTGTCGTTTCTGTTACAATAAGCGTGTAATTTGAATTATGATCCAAAATAATCAATTAATACAATAGTTGAAGATTGCAAATGAATCAATAACTGAAATCAAAATATGAATGTGATTTGACAGACTTTTCAAGTCTGTTCTCAAGTTGGTTCACTTCCGCTATTAAGGGGCTAAATTAATTATGAGCTCATATTTGTATAAAAAAATGAACTGAATTAAATAAAACATAAAAAGATGAATAGAAAAACTCAATAAATGTTGACTTAAAGTTACCAGAGCAAAGACATAAACATAGATTTGTAAGTGAGGTGGAGAACTTTAATGAATTAAGTCTTTAATCATTCAAAGCTTTACACGCCCCCTTCCATATATCTACATACAGATCTATACACGTTGGCGTACAGTTTTAAACAGACAGTCGATTACGACACAATGTGGGTCATACTCATAGACTGTCCTGCTCCTACCTCCATCTGTTGATGCCCACGTTGGAGGAGCCTGCGAACCAGGGGTCCAGGATGTAGATGCAGCGCAGGCTGTCAGACCTCCGGATGGAGTCCCTCAAAGCCCCGTTGTCGTGCAGCCTCAAGCCTTTCCTGAACCAATGTATGGTGTTGACCACCATCTTTCTTTGATGAAGTGCCTTGGTTGTTGTGAGAGTAATATATCCACCAGAGATGCTCTAAGGATCCTGAACGTGCACAAAACTAAAGGGTCCAAAAGGGATTGAAGAGGAGATGGCGCTTGTAGCTAGCCGAGCTCCATGAACCTTTCAACACAGTTATTGGGACTTCCAGTTAACTGTGGCATGTGTCCTCACAGCGCAAATTAAAGAATCCACGAATGAAACAACTTACTATTAGTTATATTTGTTATTTGTGATCAAATTAGTTTAGTTAGCATGCTTTAAAAACACAGCTGCCAGCGACGTAACGAGGCTGTGGTTTACGCCGAAGATACGTCCAAAAGAGCGACTAAACATCAGCGACACAACGCACACACACGCACTTTCTTCTTGCGCAGAACAAATGACGGTAAAAATACAGCCAACCTCACGGATCTGTCGAATAGAGTTGGAGATGTGAAGGATGTAAACTCGTCGGCCATGTACGCGTCCCACTTCTGCATCAACAACATCACCACCAGCAGAACACGCACGTGACGGGGAGCGAGGCCGCTGATTGGCTGAGGCTGGATCTTACATAAACTTTTCTCTGTCACGTTTTCAGAGTGTGCTTTCCTTTCCCTCTGTACGGCCCGACATGTCCGGTATAAAACCACACGGAGAGTCAGTATTTCAACACAATAGTGCACACTCCAACCCCAGGAGTCATTACCGAGTCAGAAAAAACACACAAAACGTTGATTATGGTGAAATGAATAAAGGGCTAAAGGATGGGAGGCGGAGTTACCCGGATGAGCACATGCGAAGTGGCGAGGATGGGCTGTGGGTGCGTTAGATTTATTCGCAGGGATACAACGAGCGTTTCCGCGGCTTTTTTTTCTATGTTTAAATTTTGTTTCCGCCCGCCTGGTGTGAAACAGATTGTGATCAAACAGACACCATATAATGTTATATAAATTTAAATTCTTATGCTAATTCCGTTCAGTTAAATAGTTTGATCCAATCATTGATTGTAACCTGCACTTTGTCAAGTGCGCTTGACAAGTTGATCTATACTTTTCACAAAACAAACACGTTATATATATATATATATATATATATATATATATATATATATATATAAAAAAAACAAAAAAAAAAAAAAAATTTCCACTCACCTTTGGCCCTCCGCGGGCGGTTATCCCTCTCTAAGCTCGGGTCCAGGGAGCTTGAGGGTTCTGCGCAGTATCTTTGCTGTTCCTAGCACTGCACATTTCTGGACCGAGATGTCCGAGGTTGTTCCGGGGATCCGCTGTAACCATTCCTCTAGCTTCGGGGTCACTGCCCCGAGTGCACCGATCACCACGGGCACTACTGTCACCTTTACCCTCCAGGCCCTCTCCAACTCCTCTCTGAGACCTTGGTATTTCTCAAGCTTTTCATGTTCTTTTTTCCGGATGTTACCATCGCTTGGAATTGCCACGTCCACCACCACGGCTGTCCTCTGCCCTTTGTCTACCACCACGATGTCAGGTTGGTTTGCCATTACCATTCGGTCGGTCTGTATCTGGAAGTCCCACAGGATCTTCGCACGCTCATTTTCCACCACCTTTGGAGGAGTTTCCCACTTAGACCTTGGGGTTTCCAGCCCATACTCTCCACAGATGTTTCTGTACACTATGCCAGCCACTTGGTTATGGCGTTCCATGTAGGCCTTCCCTGCCAGCATCTTGCACCCTGCAGTTATGTGTTGGATCGTCTCAGGTGCCTCTTTGCACAACCGACACCTTGGGTCTTGTCTGGTGTGGTATATCTGGGCCTCTATCGCTCTGGTGCTCAGTGCCTGTTCCTGTGCAGCCATGATGAGTGCCTCTGTGCTGTCCTGTAGGCCAGCCCTTTCTAGCCATTGGTAGGACTTCTTGAGATCAGCCACTTCTGTTATGCTCCGGTGGTACATGCCGTGTAGGGGCTTGTTCTCCCATGATGGGCTCTCCTCCAGCACCTCCTCATCTCGCCACTGCCTGAGACATTCACTGAGTACGTCATCCGTTTTGGCCTTCTCCATGATGTAGTTATGGAGTTTGGATGTTTCGTCCTGGACAGTGGCTCTCACACTCACTAGTCCTCGGCCTCCTTCTTTACGGCTTACGTACAGTCTCAGGGTGCTGGATTTGGGATGGAACCCGCCATGCATGGTAAGGAGCTTTCGAGTTTTAACATCCGTGGTCTGAATCTCTTCCTTTGGCCACCTGATTATTCCTGCAGGGTATCTGATCACTGGCAGGGCGTAGCTGTTAATTGCCCGGGCCTTGTTCTTGCCATTGAGCCGGCTTCTTAGGACCTGCCTTACTCGCTATAAGTAATATATATATATATATATATATATATATATATATATATATATATATATATATATATACTATATATATATATATATATATATATATATATATATATATATATATATATATATATATATATATATATATATATATATATACGCTTTATATAAAGATCTGACAAATGTTTTACGTGTTTGAGTAATTTTACTACATACACATTTATCTCTGCTAGCATGGGTTTTTATGTTTTTAATACTGCGTGTACGTGTACGTGTATTTGTGTGTGCGTGTGTGTGTATATATGTGTGTATGCAGTATTTACAGTGACCGCGAGATGGGAGTGTAGTGTTTTGTAAAACTCCCTTTGAGCTCATGTGAAGGGGGCCCCCTGGAGGTCTGCGCATAATATTTACAGTCTATGGTCTGCACAAAATGTGACAATAGAATAAGACACATATGTACAATAATAGTATAAAACATGAAATTGCACATTAACACATTTAACATTAAGAGCTCCTTTTTCAGCCATTTGTTGTAGGAATGAGAAGCACATAACACAAGATAGATAAGCGAATATTAAAGATATATACGAGAATGTTTTCCAAATTTTAGGAAAGAACCGCCCTCTCCACCTTTTGAACCAAAACTCCTCTTGTTTGTCGAGCACGTAACAGCAGAATGATTGGTCTTTGAATTGCGCTACATGAATGAAGAACATGCACAAGACATACACATAATTATTCACATACAATATGAAAAAAATATATATATATATTTTTTTACATGTTTTAAAATGTAAAATTCCAAACTGCTGTTGTGTCCTTAGGCAAGACACTTCACCCCCATTGCCTATGAGTCTGGTGTGTGTGTGAATGGTTGGTGGTGGTCGGAGGGGCAGATGGCACATATACTGGTTATGCCTCGCTTCTGTCAGTGTGCCCAGGACAGCTGTGGCTACATTAGTTTATCACCACTGTGTAAAGAATAATGACATGTGAAGCGTCTTTGAGTGTCCAAAAAAGCGCTATATAAAACCGATGCATTATTATTGTTATTATCATTAAAAAAGGCATTGGATGAATTAAAAAGCATATATTTTGATTGCATTGATATGCCTTGATTTTAATGTGGTCCTAAATGTAGTTCAATGTTACATACACATTAATAATAAAGGGGATGAGAACGAATGAATGAAGTAATAATAAGACGTATAAATTGAGTAAATATTTGAGCAGAGACTAAAGGCAAACGTTAGAGGACGCTGTTGTCTCAGAAAACGTGTTACTGAGAATTTAAACGCTAACAACATAATACAACAATAATAAGGATGCAAAAAACAGTATTTCCCGAGACATTTTATTTAAGTTATTCAAAATACATTTAATTCAGCTTTGGACCTATATGTTGTACTATTTTAATCTTCTTCTTACAAATGGTAATGTTGTGCAGGGACTTTTTTTTTTTTTTTTTTTTTTTCTTGAGGCGTTATGGAGGAGAGGACCCGACCTGCAGCGCGATCCCACCGTGACCTTGAAAGTAATGCGGGTCTCTTCAATGAGTTGCACCTTTGAGGAACAGGGCAGGATACATTATGCATGCGATCTATTATTAATGCTCTTGAGTCATGTTACGATCCAGAGACGGTACATATAGAAAGCCAGGATTCCCACGAGAAACTACAAATGTGATAAATGCACTGCAACGTACACCTTGCATTTCATATCTCCCCATCTTTAATTGAACCCTGCTGGGGTTTGAAGTATATTTCCAGTCAATTTTGCGACATTGATCCTCACATAAGGATCATAGTAGTTGCCCAAATTTGGATCAAAAATTCAATTGAAGTTAAAGTAATTGTTTAAGAGGAGATCTAATAAGACTAATTCGATTTCAAACACAATTAAAATCGATTACGCCCACCAAATCCGAGTTCAAGGGCTAAATATTTACAGTCTATGGGCTAAATCCATCCTAGCGATCAGCAGTTTAACCTGACTCAACACATACTCACTGTTTACATATTCTGCTATTAATAAGCCCTGTTAATGGCAACATGAGTAGCTTCTTATCGATTCTATCAAGAGCTCCTATTAGACGTCTTTGCTGGTGTATTCTTGAAGTTGATTGGCTGAGAGCTGTTCACAGGTCCGCATAGTCCCGCCCCATGTGTCAGGCACTGCAGCCGCACGATGCTGTAGTGACACTCTACTCCTAACTTTCCCAAACAGCCTGTGAGGACTTACTCAGGCTGCTGTTCCCACGCTCACTGAGAACAAGCTCATTTACAGCCTGTTTCAATATTTATCTGCACTTTCCCCCAAGGCAAGCCCTCCGTTGCAGAATGAAGTGCAGTTATGGCAAGAAGTAGCAAGTCAGCAGCGAGGACCCTGGAGGATTTGACGCTCGACTCTGGTTATGGTGGAGCCGCGGACTCCTTCAGATCTTCCAGTGCGTCGCTGTGTTGTTCCGAGGCGCATGGGGGGAACTACTGGCATCTAACCGACTCAATGCACAGTCGACACAACAGTCTGGACACTGTGAACACGGTCTTGGTCGAAGACACCGAGATCCTGGAGTGCAGCGGGCAGTGCGCTAAACTACCCGAGCTTGAGGATGTGCCATGGAACCTCGGGGAAGTGGCGAGCGCACTGAACAAGGACGAGGAGATGAGCTTACCGACCCCTCCGCAGGACGTCCTGCACCGGCTGTCAGTGCTGATCAGCCGAGTTCTGGTGAGGGTCGCGAAAGAAGCGCAGCGTCTAAGTTTGCGTTATGCCAAATGCACCAAATACGAGATCCAAAGTGCCATAAAGATGGTTCTGTCTTGGAGCGTATCTATGAGCTGCATCAGCGCGGCCCTCAGTGCCTTGTCCTTGTACAACATGAGCACCGAGGAGGAAAAGTTCAGCCGGGGGAAGTCTGCGCGCTGTGGCCTCATCTTTAACGTGGGCAAATTCTTCAGGTGGATGGTGGACAGCAGGATGGCGGTGCGGATCCACGAACACGCAGCCATCTACCTGGCCGCGTGTGTGGAGAGCCTGTTCCGCGAGGTTTACGGACGCGTGCTGCGCAGTGCGCTTTTGGAGAGGGACAACGGGATTCCCAAGTTTACAGTGGAAGTGCTGGAGCAAGCCATCAACGGGGACGCGGAGGTGTGGGGCTCTGTGCAGCCCTGGCAGCACCTGATCTGTGGCAAGAGCGCAAACGGTGAGTCGCCCCCGGTGGTTCAATTCAGAGGCTCACGGTCCATTCACTTTTATCGCTCCGAGTTGGGAAAAACTTAATTAGCCTAATTCATTATTAGCTAACATAATCTTCCTCTGTTATCTTTGAGTCAGAGCAACAAAGCAGCAATAAAAATTAGCATCAATAAGTGAAAAGTTCACTTGCATAAACAGTGCAATTAGAAAATATATATTTAATGGCTCTACCAGGCAGTGTTTTGGAAAGCCAGATATATTAGTGCCATCATGCCATGAGTTTTACCCCATTCTTCTCTCATTTACTGCCAATAATAAAGCAAAGCTATGGAATACGACTTTCTTGACAAATGTTCAAAACAGGAACTTTATGCCTTTAATGAATTAAAACTTTGCAACTATGACATTCTCAAAGGCCTTTCATCAACAATGTTTTGTTCACATCCTTGCAATGACCTTGTTACCAGTATGTAGTAAACACCAGTGAAAGCAGGAGTCATGAACTGTGCCTTGACAGAGACTTCATTCACTTAATGGCTTTCACTTTGTCATCAGTCTTCATTTTCCGTTATAATGTTTCTATTTTATCCTCATTTATGTTGCTGGTGATGCAGGGGCCATATCCTGCAGCGTCCTACTGTTGCTCCCCCCACTCAGAAAGGGCTCTCCCTGTCTGCCTCTGTGATGCCCTGCAGATGTCTCTTGTATTCAGCTTTTTTTCTTCTCTAGGATGCACACATAATACCACCCTGCTGCCTGTTTAAAAAAGCTGTCCTGTTTTCTCCACTGTACACGTTCAGACTGCCTTAGTGTAATCGCATTCAGGCTTCTCCTCCGCTTATCCAGCAATACATCACTGTTTCCACCGTCGCTCTGTTTGGATGGATGTTGTCAAAGTGCTATGTGGCTTCTCTTTGCAACAGGTTTACGTAATGAGTAGCCTTGGGGGACCTGTGTGCTATCATGCATTATGCAGTCTGATGTGAATAAAAGTGAGTTAGAGGAATGGGAAGGAGACAGACAGATGGACAAGCAGACTGAGATGTTGAAAGTTAGAGGGACAGTGTAGCTATTTTGATGATGAATCACCGACACATGGCACAAAAATTGGTTTCCTGCGCTCAGCTTTTGTCTTCAAGCTACAGAGAAACAGCTGCCCACCTGTTTGTTTGTCACAGTCATCATTATTCAAGTGCGTTAGAATGTGATTGAAGGCAATGTCACAAGCAATTAATTGGCAGAAATGATTTTGTATTGGCGTTTGGTTCTGTTATGACGCCTAATTGTATACATTTGTGTTTTGATTTTGTATTGAGCATTGCAGCGGTCCTTGTGAGGGTTTGTTCTGAAAAATGAGCCAATACTTTTGTGAGATTGCTGGTTTGTAGATGGTGAAATAGTATTTGTGTGTTGCTGTTGTATGAATGTGTTGGAGGCTTTGGCAGATACTTCCCCAGTTTGCCTTGAGGGATTGCTCACAAGCAACTAAATGTGAGTTTCAGTGGTATAGGTAACTCTTTTAGTCCATTACATTTCTCAATATAATTTAGTAAGTATTTATTTCTCGGTTTCTACATTCAACCATCCATCTACTGATCTGGGGGATTTTCCCGTTGGTGTTTTGGTTTGATGGGCGGAACCAGAGTGTAAAGAAACCCACATGGCCTCAGTAAAGCCTGGGAATTGAACCCACAACTTACATATAAACCTCAAGAGTTAGCTACTGAACCATGCATGGTGCTGCCATAAAAATTTGCCTGCAATGTTCCTGCATTTAACATTAGACTTTTAAACATGATACAAAACACCTACAGCCATTTTCATGACACTCAAAGATGCTTCACATGACCTCATTCACTCACTCCATTCACTGTGTTGGTAAAGTCAGCTGTTCTAGAGCCCAAATTGTGCTATTGTTTCAGTTATGAAGATGAACCAATGTTTATTAGCTATGGATCCTGTGCCTGCGTAAGAGCCCTTAATAAATTCTATATAAAATAAATAAATAACAATGACACAGCTGCCTTGGAGCAGACTGATGTAAGCATCTCTGAACAGCAACAAACGTGCATGCACACACCAGACTCATCCTGTGTGTGGGTGAAGTGTCCTGCCCAATGATACAACAGCAGTTTGGCAATCTTCCCATTGTTTCACCTGGTGTTCCCATAGGTCTCCCACCACAGCTCTAACCAGATGCTTTCCTGCTTAGCTTCTGAGATCTGATGAGGGCATGCATTAAACCTCTATACCTCCAATTATTCTCTCTGTGGGGGTTGTCACCACTCCACAGATCTGATTTGTGACCTGCCTTCGTGGAGTCATTTGCGTGTTCCCATGAAATACATAATTAGTCCTGGCCCCACAGGGGAGGTACTTTTTGTTTTTGTTATTTGTTTTTACAGTGGCACAGTGGCAGAATCACCAAGGCACCCAACGCAGGAGAACATGCAAACTCACTCAAACCTACCTTGTTGCAGTGAGGCGACAGGGCTAACCACTGCGCCACCACATTGCTCCAAAATGCACACATTCTGTAGACTAGGGCCACCACACTGCATGACTGTGAGTGCGCATATTTAAAACAGCCATTGCTATTCATCATCTGTGGTTTTGCTGGGTCATCTTGGGAGAAGTGGGGAAGAACTTTTCTGTTTGTCCTTCAGCTAATGTCTTTGAGTTAAGAAAGTTAAGCCCTGGAACCCCTTTAGCGTGACTGATAAGGCCAAGATGCGTCGTCTTTTTCCCTTCTAAAAACCAAACAGCCAGTCAATCGTAGAGTGGCGTGACCTTAACCATGCCATTGCCTGCCAAACATATCCCCCGTATAACTTCCATCCATTCTCTCAGCCAAGTGGGAGTAATTGAGGTAATTTTTCTATATTATGCTAGCCCTAGCTCTTCAGTGGATGAATTTTAATGCAGCATCTCCTCAAAAGACAATTCCCTTCTTTCCTTTTAGCGTCAGTGGTTAAAAATAATGAGAGTGCTTCTTCTTTCTCAGTGACAGACGAGTCAATTAAGACACTTTAGGACGCCATGTTGTCTGTTAGATGCGCTGGACTTTAATTATGAGCTTGCAGAAGTTAGCTTGTAGTTATTAAAAGAGGGCAAGTTCCAACACCACTGCAGCTCTCTATGATCTATGTGAAGATGTACCGTAAGCGTATGCAGCGGTAAGATACATAAGCATATATAAGTGATTTTCAATTAAACTAATTCCCAGCCACATGTTTCTGTACGTTTTTGCTGAGAAAATGTGTGGCAGTTATCCGTCTCCAGGCAAAATTGTATATATGCGTAACAATTCATGAATATTAGTCAAAACAGTTACTTCTGATAATAAACCAAACATAAATAGTATCAGTGCACATTATTCCATCCATAATACAAAGATACTGTACACACAAGAAATGTTTCTTAGTTTAAGGATTTACTTACTCAGATGATTACTCATATATTGCTTATGTATTAATGATTAGATTTATCATTATCAATCACTGCTTCAAGAATGAAAGATGTTTTGTGATCTCTGAAATGCATCTATCTGACAGCTCACCCTCAAAACAGTTGGAACATGTGTTTGTAATACTTTAGAACGGCTTTTTCAGATAGAAAAAAAAGAAAGAGAGAACTTCCCTAACTCAGCCCGTATCTCACGCCCAAACTGTCAAATACTGACTCCCGGGGCCAGTGTGCAAAACATAACATATTTTCTAAGATGAAGGTAAAGGTGCACTTTATTAATCCCAGTTACTACGGCAGTGGTCGCCGTAGTAACAGTGCCCAGGAACCCATCTCCAGATGTTGATGCTCGGCTTGGTCAGGACTGCTGGAGCTGGAGGATTTAACCTAGTGAGCATGTTTTTAGTGGTAGGGGAAACCGGAGTACCCGGAGGAAACATATGCAGGCACAGGGAGAACATGCAAACTCCAATTAGAAAGACCCTGTTCCGACCGGGATTCAAACCCAGGACCTTCTTGCTGAGAGGCGAGAGTGCTATCCACTCAACCACCGTGCCGCCCCAGGCAGCATGCTGTGGTCTGATTTGACTCCTTATGTCTCTTTAGGTTTGAAGACTAATATGTCAATTGTATGCAAAGGTATGTGGCGCTACCTGCATGTGAAAGCTAGATCCTGGCTGACCTAAAGCTAAGCAGTGCAGCCAGGGTCTGATTAGTTTTATGATGGGAGACCTCTGGGAACACCAGGTGCCTGATGTAAAGCAAGAGACTTCACCCACCTTGCCTGGACTGAGTTTGGTGTGTGTGTGTGTGAATGGTTGGTGGTGGTCGGAGGGGTCGACAGCACACACAGGTAGGGCAGTTGTGGCTACAGTTTTGGTTTATCACCACCATGTATGGAGAGAATGAATAAAGACATAAGAAGTCGTTCAGTGTCCTTTATAAAGCCGATGCATTATTCAAGGTACACCAGGGTACACCAGTTTTAAGAACCCTTGAATGTGTGCCCTTACCTGTCATAGGTCATAGGTAAGTAATTATCTTCATCTCCAAACAGGGCATGGCCGAGTCTCCTTCCGTCCGTATCGCTGGACCGCATGTAGTAATTGTTTAGTGCTGTCGAGCTGTTGTTCTCACCTACCGCTGCTCGCAGATCCGCTTAGGTACAAGCAGCATATGGCAGGCCTCCCACTCAGCCTCATGCACGCGGCTGTCAGGGGCTCCTCTCCAGCCTCACTGTATGGAAGCACATGGGGATGGTGGGTGTTGGGTTTCCCGTCTCCTCCGAGCTGGGATCCTGTCCGAACAGGAAACTGCTGCTTGGGGATATTTCTCCTTCTGCTGCTCCCACCGCTCGTAGAACACACAAGCTCCTCTTTGATTTCCCTAATGTGACTCCAAAAAACGTTGGAAGTAGATATCAGGGGATCCATACCGCCCCAAGGACAGGTTTGCAATCTCTTTTTAGGTGTGAGCACTGGTGTCTTGGTGTGCAGCTGTGATGGCTCTTTCAAGTCTGGGCATATAGACATTAGGCTGCGAAAACTTGATTTAGCTTTCATGTTATTTGACGAGGCGCTGTGGATATTTCTGATGCATTTGCACTTCTCGTTTTTCCC